TGCACCGATTTTAAGTGTTTGTAAAGGATCCGTCTCTGTTTATTGCTTGACATGACATGTGCAACTTCAGTGGAGGTAAATTAGATCTTGGGAATGCAGCATTAGCTGGGACCACGTGCCATAAACATTGCCTGGATGCAAATGCCATTTGAAAACAAGTAGAAGTGTTCTTCGCAGATAAGAACCATAATCATGGAATCACAGAGTGGTTTGGGTTGGACGGGACCTTAAAGCTCATCCAGCTCCAACCCCTGCCACAGGCAGGGACCCCTTCCACTGGAGCAGCTTGCTCCAAGCCCCTGTGTCCAACCTGCCCTTGAGCACTGCCAGGGATGGGGCAGCCCCAGCTTCTCTGGGCACCCTGTGCCAGCGCCTCAGCACCCTCCCAGGGAAGAGCTTCTGCCTAAGAGCTCAGCTCAGTCTCCCCTCTGGCAGGTTCAAGCCATTCCCCTTGGCCTGTCCCTACAGGCCCTTGTCCCAAGCCCTTCTCCAGGTTTCCTGCAGCCCCTTTAGGCACTGGAGCTGCTCTAAGGTCTCCCCTTCAGGGGCCTTCTCTTCTCCAGGCTGAACAAGACCAATAATCATACATAAAGTTATGTCTGCTCTGTTTTAAAGGCTGGTGCTTAATGGGGTTTTGTAACTGGAATAAAATAGTGCATCCAAAGAGTGAAGGTGGTAAAACCTCCTGGAGAGGTACAGAGTAGGTGGACTTTTATCTAGAAGACAAGCTCTTTCTTGTCAGTTTGCTCTTTCGGGTACTGGTGGGTTTGTGACCTTTGTTCTGATAGCACAGGTTGAATTAGTTGAACAAGCCTTCAGTGGATTTTATCTGGAGAGAAAGAAATTAGCAGAAATACATCTCAGCAAGCCACATACCACTGAACTAATTTGTGAGAATTTTACTAACTGAATTAAAGATGAAGCAAGGCTGTAGTGAACTTGAGGTCATGCCTAAGACCAAATCAGTACTTCAGGAGGTTGAAGTATTCAAATCTCCAAATCAAGAGCAGCTGATCTCAGAATGATGGGCTGAAGTTGAGAGGAGTGCGGTGTAGGAGAACTTGAGGGGTTGCATCCACTGACCAGGGATCACTGCAGGGCATGGAGGTGGTTGATGCTACTGACCAAGAAGACCTCAGCTTCTCTTGCAAGTAAATGACTGAAATCATCACTGCTCACCTCTTGGCTTCATGTACAGCATGGCAGGAACACTTTTCCTGCTCCAGCTGGCTCTCCTTTGGTCCATTTGCTGTATCAGTTGCTTGGGAAGGGGCCTGAAGCAAAAACCCAGTATCTCTGCTGACTTAATGCAGTTCAGTCTGAGATGAAAGTGTCTTTTGAGAAATGCCACTACTAAATAGTGACTAGTTCTGAGTGTGCTTCCAGGAAGCCATCAGAAAAGCTGTTTCCCTGAAGCCTCATGTTCCTGCCTGTTCATACTAGTGATCCGCAGATCTTGGCTGACCAGTGTGCGATGGGAAGCTTCTCTCTGTGCTTTATCCAAGGGATGCTTGTGGTGCTCATCCAATCCACCTGTGTGTGCTGGGTACTTCTCACCCCATGGACTAGCTGTCTTTAGGTACGGATAGAACATGCCAGCACTGCCAACCCAGGGGAAATGATGAGCACTGGGGGCTTTGGGGCACATTGAGCAATGGTGCCTTTCATTGGGTGTCCACAATCAGTGCAAATCAATCATATAACAAACCCTCTCAATGTTCCCTGTGGTCGTTGGTGATTCCTGCAGCTATCAGTGTTTCACAGGCTCTTTGTGGAGTGGTGGGGTTGTAGAAATTCCTCAGCTGTTCTGGTGGCCTTTGACCAAAACGACCCAAGATGCTTTTTAATGTCAGTTCTATTCAGCACTAAAGAATAAGAGATTCTCTAGAGCACCATCCTATGCCTGGATTTCCAGCCTCCCTGTGCGTGTCCAGGAGGTGCAGGCACCCATGGACTTTTTTTCCAAGCAGTTCTCAGTATTGATGGAATTAATTTAAGCAAAAGATGGTAAGACTGAAGTGAGCTGGAGGGAGTTTTTCAAAGTGCCTTTTTGGGTGTTTGCTCATATACTCAGCCCTGAAAAATAATCTGTGTGTTTACTGACTGTGTTTGCACTGTCTCTACTGTGCCAGTATTTTCTTTGTACCTGGGCCATGGCCCTCGATAGCCAGGGGTGTTATTGAGCAGTTTGGATGAGTGCCCCCAGTCTCTATTTATTTGTGTTTTAACAAGGGTCTGCAATGCTGAACTCTGAGCAGTCACCGTAGCATCACCTTATGTGAGACCTGGGGCAGGGAGCAGAGAGGAGCACGCTCAATATCATCCTTAAAATGTTGCTACCCCCACGCAGGCATTTGGTGAGCAGCCTGCAGACCCCCATGTGAACAGAGCTGCTGATGCCAAGGCAGAGAATTAAAGACTACTCTTGGAGACTTTGCCCCGTTCCTGCCAGTGCTCAGGGGTCCAACCTGGCCTTGAACACTGCCAGGGATGGGGCAGCCACAGCTTCTCTGGGCACCCTGTGCCAGTGCCTCACCACCCTCATAGTGAAGATGCATCATAGTGACTTGTTGCATTGGTTGTTCATGAGACTTTCTTCCAGGCATCTCATGTTTTAAAATCAAGGGATCTTCTTGAAGATCCTTTGGTAGCTCAGGAGCACGAGCATCCTCCGTTTGAATACATTCCAATGCATTATCCTGCTTTTGCAGGATAAAGACTGACCTGTGTTTTGCTGCTGGGGAAGACTGGGCACAGTTTGGTGATGTGTCACTCAGGGGGAGACCAAGTTTTGATGCCATCTCCAAATTTCTACCTTTCCATAGATACAGAGTGAAGGGGGGACAAGCCAGGTTGTCCTCAGGGTTTGTTGCTGCTGATGTGGCTGCACTGCCCTGAGCTTGTGAAAGGTCAAGCTGATGACGATGGTTTCCATGTTTCTTCTCAGGGTGTGACTTACCGCGGTAAAAGCTCAGCCAGCGATCTCACCATGGCCAATGTCCCCTGGCACGAGGAGGTGGGGCACTTTGTCCAGGAGCTCGATGACCTTACCCCTGTGAAATTGCCTGTGAGCATGAGCACTCGAACTGTCTCCTCATTGCTCACAAAAAGGTGAGGCTGTGCCAGGGTGTGATGCCAGGCACCGTGCATCTCCTTGGAAATGCTGGACAAGTGCCTTGTTCTAACACACTTATCTCTAGAGTTAGCTTGGTGCTATTCTGGGGGGGGAAGCATACTGTATATATTTCAGAAAAAGCTGAAGATGCACCATGTTGCTGCTGGTCATAACAGCTCAGTGCTACCACAGCAATGCAGGCAGGAGGCATGTAACAGGTCCAGGAGAAGCTCGGTACAGTATAGAATCACAGAATGGTGTGGGTTGGAAGGAACCTTAAAGCTCATCTAGTTCCAACCCCCTGGCATGGACAGGGACAGCTTCCACTGGAGCAGCTTGCTCCAAGCTGCTTCCAACCTGCCCTTGAGCACTGCCAGGGATGGGGCAGCCCCAGCTTCTCTGGGCACCCTGTGCCAGCGCCTCAGCGCCCTCCCAGGGAAGAGCTTCTGCCTAAGAGCTCAGCTCAGTCTCCCCTCTGGCAGGTTCAAGGCATTCCCCTTGGCCTGTCCCTACAGGCCCTTGTCCCAAGCCCCTCTCCAGGTTTCCTGCAGCCCCTTTAGGCACTGGAGCTGCTCTAAGGTCTCCCCTTCAGGAGCCTTCTCTTCTCCAGGCTGGCCCAGCCGAGCTCTCTCAGCCTGGCTCCAGAGCAGAGCTGCTCCAGCCCTCGCAGCATTATCGTTGGTGCCATGCTCTCTGAGCAGGGGCTTCAGTTGACCTTGGAAGGGTCACTTTGTTAAGGGGTACCTGGACACCATCTCAAATTTACAGGCTTTCTTCAGGGCTCTTCCCCAGACCAGAGTCTTTCAGGTATAAGTGACACCTGGCAAATGGAGAGAGACTTGTGAAGGCTTTGGGATGCTCTGTGGAAGTGTTCCTCCTCCAGAGCGGGGCTGTAATGGTGGTAGGTAGTTGTGGGACTTCGAAGGAGCCGGTAAAGCACCCAACAGTCAACTGTTCATGGAGATTATCTGCTGGTAGACAGCACTGAATGAGAAAGCTATAACAGCCACCCTGTATCTGTGTGCGTTTTTAAACCCTGTGGATGAACGTGGCTGAGAAACAGTAAGTTCTGGGTGTTTGTCCACCTGCATTTATGGTTTTTTTCCTATCAAAGCAGTTACCATGCACTAGCTTCTGGATGGCTTTACCCTGGACATTGTGGTTGCTAGAAAATTAAAACTTACTACATCTGGGAAACCAGTTTAACATTCACCCAGCTTGTCTTAGCACACGTGTTGTGTTTGGTGTTTCTCATTGCTCCCTGGCTCAGCAGCATGCTGCTTTTCCTTCCAGTTCAAGAGCAATGGCAAGTGGAGCACCTGGATCAACTCTGACTGCTTCCAGGAGCTGGTGCGAGCACAGAAGCAGAGCTGCGGCTCCCAGACTTTCACAGTGGCCAATGACACAGCCAGGATTCCTCGCTGGGCACTCTTTGGGTCCAGAGAGAGGGGATTCAATCCCTTGGATGTGAGATACCACATGCCACTGCGGTCCCTTCCATTCTTCTCTAGGCATGCTCAGGATCCCTCTGTTCCTTTCTGTGGTCTCTCAGTTACTCTCTGTTCCCTTGTGAGTGCTCTTTACCGGAGGGCATTTTGCAGGAGTTCCTGGAAGGCAACACACCACTGTGAGCCGGGGTCAGCAAAGGAGGAAGAGCCTGGCTTTAGGGAGCTGGCAGCACCCGCAGGAGCCGATGCATCCGGTGCATCCAGAGGGGCAAGGAGCGACATTTCGGATTCCCCTCCAACCCCCAGGCCTAGGGCTGGGGCTGGGGCAGTGAGTGAGGGAAGCACCTTCCCTTCGCATGGCAAGGCTCTGCACAGCCCCAGCCCCAGCCCCAGCCCCTCAGGGCTGCCCAGCCAGGTCAGGCAGGAAAGCTGCTGCCTAAATCTAACCCTGCCCTTCAGCCCCGCAGAAGCCCCGTCCGCCCCGACTCACCTCCAAACACAGGCCCGCTGTTGGGTGTGCTGGACATGGTGAAGGCGAAGGGTGTGCTCTGGCTCTGTGCCCCCAGCGTGCTCTGTGCCAGGGAGGAGCCGAATGGTGTTGCTGCCAGGGCCGCCCCGCTCTGCCCAGCCCCGAAGCTGAAAGGTACAGCAGGGGAGCCGCTGCTCAGGGCTGGCGTGCTGACCCCGAAGGCACTGGTGGAGGGTCCTGGCTGGGTGGTCACCCCAAAGGTGAAAGGAGAAGGGGTGGTGCCGAAGATGGTGCTGCCACTGCTGCTGCTGCTCGTGGTCTGGGTGGTGGAACCAAAGCTGGCGGTGGTGGAGGTGGCTGTCCCAAAGGAGAAGACCGATGTGGTGGTCCCAAATGCCACCTGGGTGCTGCTGGTGCCGAAGGAGCCCTGGGTGCTGGCTGTGCCAAAGGCTGGCTGAGCACTGCTGCCGAATGTGGGCTGAGCAGCCAACTGGGCTGCAGGGGCTCCAAAGCTGAATGTAGGGGCAAAGCTGCTGGGGCCAGCAGCAGGCTGGCTGGTGGCTGGCTGGCTCGCAGCTGCGCCGGCACAACTGCCAAAGGCTGAAGCGGGGGAGCCAAACGTCAGTGTCACCTGGCTTGTGGTGGCTGGGGTAGAAGAGGTCAGCGTGGCACTGCCAAATACACTAAAGCCTGCAGTAGTGGCAGGAGCCGTCAAGTTTGAAGGCACTTGGCCAAAGGCAGGGCCTCCTGGGATAGTGCTGGTGGCAGTGACTGCGGCTGGAGTTGGCTTTCCACACTGGAGCGTGGACACTGGGGTGGCAAAGCTGATTTCTGTGCTGGGAGCTGAGGTGGCCGGACCCCCAAACAGGAAGGGCTGTGACATGCTGGTGGCTGTGGCAGTGGTCATGGTCAGGCTGGTGGTGGGGCCGGTGGAGGCGGGTGCATTGATGACAAAGCTGAAGACAGGTTTGATGGTGGCGTCTGAACTCTCTGTGGTGGCTGTCATAGCTGCCGTGGTGAAGATGACGTTAGGGAGACCTGTGAATCCTGCCAGGGTTGTTGTGGAGGCTGCAGGCAGATCTGCACCCGAGGCCGGCTGCAGTGACGGTTGGAAGGCAAAAGGAGAGGTGTTTACTGCAGATGAAGCTGTGATGACACTGCTGAAGATGGGCTTGAACATGGTGGTGGTAGAGGGTGTTGAGGAAGGGCCTGAGCTCACAGGCATGGTGATGGTGGTGGAGACAACAGCTGCACAGGGGGCTGAGCTCTCACCAAAGATGGGTTTGAAGACAGGGGTTGTGGTAGGCACAGCAGTGCCTGCATTCATTGCCAGCTGGTTGGAGGGAGTGGTGTCTGGCGTCTCAGAAAGGACGCTTGGCTTTGGGAAGGAGAGAGGCTTGCTGGGGGTCTGGCCCAGCTCTGTGAATGCAGGAGGTGCTGTGCTGCTGGGGGCAACAGGAACAGTCAGGGCAGATGTGCTGAGCACAGGCACAGGCTTGGTGTCAGCAGAGGTGGCAGGCAGAGAACTCAACTCCAGTGACAGAGCCGGAGCAGGCAGCTGGGCAGCTGATGAAAGTGGCTGGGACACTACTGCAGCTCCAGTGGAGTCTGCAAACAAGGAGAGCTTATTTAGGGACAGGGGTCATTTACTGAGAGATGGCCCTTTTGCCAAGCACCCACACCTATGCTGCAAAGGCTCTGGAGAAACATCCACCCCTGCCACAGACCTACCCCTGTACTGCAGCTCCCAACAGGACCATGAGCTTGGTGTCACCAAACATGCCCCCTCAAGACCCACCTGCCAGCTCTGCTGCCAACAGAGCATTTGAACAGGGAGTTTTGCCACCCACCTCCCACAGAAGCAGTGCACAGCTCCCACTGCGCCTCTCTTGCTCTGCCAAAGGCCCACCCTGCTGACCCTCCTCCTTACCCGCGAGCATGGGTGCAGCCACACTGCTCTGCATCTGATTCAGGCTGTCTGGGAGTGAGCTGGTGCTAGCTGGGGCAGGAGCAGGCCATGGTGAGGTCACGGTGCAAGCCAGTGGCCCAGACATGGACATACCCTCTGCAGTGGTGCTGGGGACCTCATCTGCTGGGAGAGAGCACGAAATCAGGACCCACAACTTTCTGTATGGGACTACCCCTTAGCAGAGCCTCCCAGCATGAAGAGCTCACAGCTCCGGCCCTGGGGACCCTTGCCCATCACCCTGGGGACTGCGGGGCACGAGCTCTCCCGCCCAACCCTTCACCAGGCTCCATGAGTTTCAGGCCCGAGGACCGGGCAGCCCTTCACTCTGCCCTTACCTGCCTTATACCCCAGGAGTCGGCGCAACTGCTGCTGTGCTGCCTTCCTCTCCTCCTCTATGATCTCCTCTGTGATGGGGTAGCCGGGGTCAGGTGCAGGGGGCTGCCAAGAGAGAGCAGTAGCTTAGTTCCTTCTCAGGGAAGCCGGCAGAGCCGCTCTGAAGGAGGTGTGGAAGCAGGCTGGTGCCAGAGCCGGGAAGCCGTGGTTCTGCCACAGCCACCGCAGAGCTCTGGTCCCCATTCGTTTTGGCCCCCAGCTTGGCACTGAGGGCGCAGCACCCTTGCCCAGCCAGTACCTGCTCTGGCAGCGGGCAGCACAGTCACGCACAGCCCACCACACACTGGGGCAGGGGAGAGCCTCACTTCCCACTCAGCCAAGGACGAGACCTCCTGGCCCAAGGCAGGCAGCTCAGCCTGCCCCCAGCCCTGCAGGGATTGCACTGGGCACGTTCTGTCCCCAGACGAGGGCAAAAGAGGCTGCGAGACAGCGACGTACCAGCACCAGTGGTTCATTGTCCCAAGGCACCAGCAGGCAGATGCTCCTCCTGCGTGGCCTTCCCTTTCCCGGCGATGGTGGTGGGCTCGGGGACTGCCGCCAAATGGTCTCCAAGGCCTCAGAAACCCAGAGCCTCTTCCCTGCTAAACTTTGCAGCTCCTTGGGAAAGTTTGCCCTGCCGGGTCAGAAATGGTCCATGTGCAGGCACCTAAACCCAGCGAGATGAGATCATAGAGAGAAGGCTGCTGCTGGAGCTGACCTGCCATTTGTACCTTGTGAAGAGGAAGCTGAGCCCAGGGCCAGAACGCTTTCTGATTTCTAAAACCTCTTGCCAAAAAATGCAGCGTACAGCTTGTTATTTGGGACTGCGGAGTCCAGTTAACGTTCCCAAATGCTCAGGTGACTCAGGAACACACGTCGTTTGCTGCATGCCACTTGATGCAAGACTCCTCCGTGTCCTGCTCCGTCATGAGCTTCTCCCTTATTTGTGCCACTGCAGAGCATCAGACTTTGCTCTCTGCCTCTCCTGCAACGAGATCTGCTGGAAGCCCTGCAGGGTGAGGGGCAGCTGGTGGGGAGAAGGCAGGGTTCTCTGGCTGAGGTTTCTGTTGCTGTGATGTCCTTCATCGGCTCTAACTGGTGTCTTTTTCTCTTGTTTTCTCTTTGTCCCACTCAGTTACATCCAGGTGGGCCTGTTGAGCAGAGCAACTCTTGACCAACTCCTCCTACTCTACCACCCTGCTGCCTTGAGCCTTGGCGAGCAGAGTCCAGAGCAGGCATTGCTGGCTGTTCTCAGAGGCAGTCATGTATGTGGTCAGAGGAAAAAGAAGAGAGGCTTCTTCTTCAGGGCAAAAGAGCTCTGGAAAACACTTGGGTCCAGTAAGAGAAGTTAATAAGAGATTTGTTGCTCTGTAAAGATTGGCTGTGCAGTCCCCACAGAGACTGCCAATCCAGGAGAAGCCCCCTGCAGTAAGCTGGCTCGAGTATTTTCACAGGGGACAAATGTACGTTGAAGACAGAAAACTCTTCAGTGGGTCTGTGAGCTGCGATCTCTGCTGAGAGCACGGCCGTGGGTGCCCACCCAGTGTGGGCAGTGGCTCTGAACACAGCATCATGGCACCAGGGTGTGTGAGGCCTCAGCTCTAGGACACGGCTACCGCCACAGTAGCACGTCCTGCCCCTGGCAGCCCTCAGTGCACCGGTTCACCTTGACGGCACGCTGGCTGGGGACTCCGCCTTATTTAGTTCTTTACTATTGCTCTCCTTAACTTCTTTATTTGGTTGGTTGGTGTCTGCCTTGGTCACAGTTTTCGTTGGCTGTTTCAATAGGCTGCTCCTGAGTTGGAGCATTTAGAAAGCAGAGCTGGGATGGAGAGATTGCAGCTATTTTCGTGTGAGATGATGTGTTCCTTCAGTTCAGACTCATCCCTTTCTAAGCCACGGAGAGTGTTGTACTCCATGGTTCCTATCTTTTTCCGCGTTTCTTTCTTTGCATATTTCAGTGGGGTACTTGTTTTGAGGACAGTTCCCTGAGGTACGTGAAGGATGCCAGCAGAGCAGCCAGAGTGTTGGTGATACGGTATGTTTTTATTTAATATCCCACTGTATTAGAATCATGTCTATTTTCACAAAAATACGTTTTCCTTAAAAAAGCAAAAGATGCAGTGATGCTTATTGAGGGGGGAGCGACAAAGAGGGAAAAATGATAGCAGTCACCTGCACCTTGAGGATGCTCCACAGCACTTCATTTTCCTGTGCTCCTGGGGGGAGCTGCCTTTTCTGGGAGTCCCAGAAGTTGGCTCTTGTTTCCCCAGTGAGGCCAAAGCCCCTGTGAGTGTGCCCGTGCCAGGCGGCTGGGGGTCCCTGCTGCTGTGGAGCCATCCCCAGCACCTATGGGCAGCTGGCAGCATGCTGCAGGCAGCAGCGGAGACCGGGAGGAGCCTGGCTGGGAAGGGAGAGGGGCTGCGGCCCCCTCAGGAGCAGCACGGGACTCTACCAAAACCCGCACAGCCAGGATACCCCATCCCTGCCACTGTTCCCCTCCTCACCTTCAGCGTTCAGCAGCTTGAGGCCTCTGCACATGTCTATCAGGAAGAGGCTATTGGCCAGGGTGGACTTCCCCAGCCCAGATTTATCTGGGGACCAAAGGAGCAGGTGAAAGCAGGAGTGGCAGTGCCAGGCCAAGGTGGCATCACCTGACTCGGCAAAATGAGAAAATAGGCTGCAGAAGCCACAGCCACACACCTAATGATGGCAGGGATGGGAGAAGAAGGGGGACACAGCCATCACCATGGGGACAGCCCAGGTGCACCGTCAGGGGAACCATCCCCTCAACTATTTCAGGTGACTGAAAGGAAAAGCTCATGCAAGGGCAGGAGCTCTGGCATGTGCAGCCTGGGGCTGCCCCCTACTGCTTGTACCTCGGCCCAGCCAGCTTCTCCACCTCCCCTCTCCCAGCCATACAGAGGATGCTGCTGCCGTCCCTTTGCTTGGGGAGCACCATCGGTGCTTTGTTCAGCCCATCCACGTCTGCTCAAGAGCTTAAAGACTCTGGTTGCCGTTGCCAAGGCACTTCTCTGTCCTTGACTCCTTGACCTTCTGCAAACTGGGTACTGCAGCACCATGGGGAGCATCTTCAGTCAGAGGGGACACTTAGTGATGCGTCAAGCAGAGGGTGCTGGAAAGCGGCACCTGTGCCCTAGCCCAGACATCAAACACAGGGACAGCAGATGTGAACATAGTCTGTTTATTTGAAGCGGGGGGCATAAAAACACGGGGTGAGGGGTGTAGTAGGAGGGGTGGAAATTGTATATTGACAGTAAAAAAATGCTAAAATGACAGTAAAATTATGGTAAAAATACTAGTTTACTATTGCTAGAACGACAGAACAACAGTATAACAACAAAAAGCTACAATAAAATAACAAAACAACTAGAGTGTAAGAACAAACCAAGAACAGTATAACAAGAATATCAGAACAACCGTAGAACAAACATAGAACACTAAAAGTCTTCAACAAATATCAGAGACGCCGACGTTTTGCCGCTGGTGGGCCAAAAGGCCACTTGGCATCTCTGTGGTCCTCCTCCTTCAGGAAGAAAAAACCCAAAGAGAACAGGTTGAGTCACAGCCATGTACATCGCAACTTAGAAGGCGGGAGGTGCTGTAAGAGCTCCAATATCAAAACCAAGTGTGATTTCATTAAAGAACGTTTCATTATTTGTGGGGTTTGGGGTAATTTCCACTGCACCCAAGACACACAATTAGAGGGCTCAGGAAGTAAAAGACCCAGCAGCGAAGCCCTCCTGGGGGTGATGAGGACCCCCCGGGCAGGGGGGAGCAGCTCTCGGGTGAGCCCTGGCTCCAGCAGCCTC